TAGTTTTTTTTTTTACTGCCGCAATGCGGACGACCGCAAAACCATTTATGTACATTGTAATGCGCCTAAACGGCTTTCACGGTTAACAGTTGCGATATGGGCGTTAAAAACTATGAAATTTTACACGCGGAAACGATGTTGGCCAAACAGTTGGTTAACCGATATTTAGAGCGGACGTTAAACGATCGATCGATCCTCCGGGAGAAACAGGAAGAGTAGGAGACCGTATTATTATTGAATATTATATTTTCAGCGCCATATCTTCTACACTTCAGCTGTTCTTGATAATATGTTATTGTTCGGTATCGATAGGCTCTAGACGATTTCACGCGCTGACAGTTACATATTTATATGTCATGTATTGACTGTTTTCATTATTCGTTGTTGTTCTTGTGAGCACGCGAAGACGACTTAAGTCGAGATACCGTACATAACGAACGCTGCTTGTTTATTTGTATATTATTATATTAATTGTACGCTCTATGCCATTACACAGCTGCGGCGGCGGCGGTACCGTGAAATTATTATCGGTCATTACAATAATGTACGACCATAGGTACTTACGTTGTATACAAATGTGTTGTACTTGTATCCGAGAGTGACGATAGGATTGTATACAAGCGCGTCGAGTGAAAGTGCCCGCCGATAATATTAGTGTATGTATTCTAGATGTATGTGTACACGGTGATATAGTTGCTATAGTGACTAGTCGGCAAAATTGGCTCGAGAGGAATGTGCCGTAACCGAATTGTGTGTGCAGTGTGTGCATCATGTTGTTGTTATTATTATTGTTATTATCATCATCATCTTTGTGTACAATAATATATGCGTCGGTCTGCCGTGGATAGTGAAACCACTTGGCCCGAGGGTTATACATACAGCTGATATCATAATATACTGTAAGAAAGCCTTCGGGCTGTTCTTCCGGTCGGTCGTGAGATACGTCGATCCGATCCCCGTGATCTACATAATGTTTGATCGCTGTATAGACAGGCCCGGTACATTTATTTTGGATAAATCCCCGCTGTGCAGCCCGTTACGTTAGCCGTTTCAAATGTGTTTTGGCAAACGCCTCACTTGACCGGTCGGGTCTAAGCAAAAAATAAATGTCATCGCTTTCGCCCGAGCTCAGACCTCTTGACTCCCGTCGGCCGCCACTAGTATTCACAATCTGACGGCCAAATCAGTTAACCAGAACAACTCACAGTCGATTGTGGGTACACGATGCGCCGGATTCCTTCGACCAAATGCATATAAGGTTCGGGCACGGTGTTATCCTTGCGCAACTTATCGTGTTCCTATATGCATCTAATTTATAGTGTCGATGCCGTCGGACAGTCTTTTATTTTTATCATACACCTTTCATCTGCAACCGCGGTGTTAATAAAATATATCTGTTCGGTCGGAGCCGATTGGAAACTCCCCATAGGACCGTGGATGCGAACGGGGTCACCTGTTAGGTCGCCGTTAGGTTAGGATTTCTCGCGCATCACAGAATTGGATAGACTGGATGAGTGCTGAGAGAATTGCACTTTCCAACTCCGCCCAAACCCAACACCTGACGGTCCCCGGTACAATTAGCGACGTTAATCGTGTGAGAGAGGCAAGTGCAGTGTATCAGGTGACTATTTTGTTCCGACCCAATTGTTATTATGCTCGGTTGATCTGGTCACCGGCGGGATTTTCAAAACACCTGCAGCGCCCGTGATCCGATTTCCATAACATATCATGTTTTGCTTTTGCATAATCGACATTTTGCCACGGCTTTAATGAACGGCAAACGAATTATTCGCATTGACCGAACCTTTTCAATAATTCTGATCTACATAACGCAGCGGTGATAATACACGTTTCACAACGGGCTTTGCTAAGCGCATACAGAATAAGTATAACACAGTGTCGTACAACAATCGCACGGCGTTGCGCAATATATTTGTACTACCACACCTAGAAAAAGTCTCGTTTGATTTTCAGGTCGTACGCGCTTAAATAATTCGTGTGATCCGTATTTAATTATAGCGAGCACTGTGCGCGATGACTTTCAATGTTGTTTACACCGTCGACAATAATTACATTGTGCCGTTGTAGGGTTCGACCGTGTTGTGTGTTGATGTCTAAGAACTTGGGACCTGATTGATGTTTTGGTCGAATTTATTAACGTTTGGAGATTATATAAAAAAACAAGTTTCCTATTTTTGCGATTCAAGACTTTGTGCATAAGCTAGACAATTAAAATAAAATGTGTCTAAATTTTAGTCCAACGACCGAGCATTGTCCTGGTCCTCTTCGATTGCAGCCAAACGACAAACAGGGAGGGGGGTAAGCTCTAAACGAATTTTTGACCCTTTTCGACTGCCAATTAAGTGCAGCAGTTACAGGTTGTCAACAACCGCGTTGTTGCCAATAGAAAAGTAACCCGCGCTGTGGTCACCGACGGCAACCGCGGCTTGTCCGCGTAAAACCGTTTCGGAAGTAGCGACATTGAGGACCATATATAACTTTTGTAACGCACTTAAGAGGTCTGCGGCCGACGTACCTACTTACTGTGTAAATTGTGCCCATAGAAGAAAAACCAACATCGCACGCACGCCGCTTGTATTATTATTATAACCGACCGCGACACCTACGTAGTCTCTCGTGTCAGGGATCAACAACCATTATTATCATTATCGTCATTATTACTATTACCGTTGCACGGCGGCGAAATAACAATAAACGTGAATTAGCTCACCCGGCGTTGTGTATGTGATAGGATTTACAGCCGTGACCTAGGGGCCAACCACGGCGTAACACCAGACGCGCGTGCCCACGCACCAACGCCGGGGATCATCGTATCAAAGTGTTTGCTTATTTTTTTTATCAAAAACCGCAATCTATTTTATATATTGTGTAAAATCAAAACGGTTTGGCCGAGCGGAGGCGTCGCGTTTAATGCTGCGATCGTGTTTGAAAATAACGACTTATGTACCGCTAGAAATTATAATATTATAATTTTCACATTCTCACATACCGTTGACGTTGCCGGGCTCATCGTTTTCCCGTACCATTCGAAATATATTAAGCTAGGTGCCCCGTAAAGCGGTAAAACCAACGCTGGCCTTTGCATAATGTTTAGAGAATAAAAAATATGTCGAGTCGTACAAAACACCTCGTGAAATACTAAAAAAACGGGACTAAAAACTTTATTTTTCCTATTATCTTTTGGAGTGTTATAAGAAGTTAGGGTACAATTTTTTTCGATTACCATTTGTTTACAAATATATTTTTTATCCGTAATCATTTCTACACGCCAAAAAACATATAAATACGTGGGCGTGAGTGGATAATATTCAGAATCGAGTCGCCAACGACACGGATCGATAATAATAATAATACTAGTATATTTATAAATGATTATCCAGAGAAAACTTAAAGTATTTTTTTTCTGTAGAAAAAATACATCTGATCTTTAGACGTGACGAAAATTACACATACCTTTATTTAAATTTTTTTATTTTGTGTGTGTTTTCGGTTCAGATTATACACACGGTTGTGTGTCCACCCGATCAAAGACTTTGCGCGATGAATTTATAATGTAATCCGTTTTGCACGGTGCGTGATATTATAAATATAAGAGTGCATTATATCCGTGCCTATATATACAAGATTATGTGTATTATTACGAGATATAGTATACATAATTCGATTATAATCGTAACTAACTCGGCGGTGTGGGTTCGGTTGTGCGGAGCGACACAGAACCGTCGTAGGTATATAATATAATAACCACCATCGTCTTCGTCCAAATCGCCCTAATGAACCGTGAAAAGCAAAATTGTCTTTCACGGCTGCCCTCGGTTCAAAATGCAAATTAAGCGAGTAGTTTTTTTGAATAGACAAACCGATCACAAGATGTTAGTGACAAGACTTAGTGGGAACGCGACGAACACAGTTGATGAACCTGCAAACCATGTTCTATATCGGCTATCCAAGGTCGTGGGTAGCCATTGTACCTATACGTATATAAATATAAGTATTATAGGGTTAAACAAACAAGTTTGGTCGATTCGACGATCCTAAGTGTTTTTTTATATGTATATATATTATTATATTATCATAAATTATATCATTGCTATTAGTGTGTATGTGCGATTTCGCAGGTACAGGGCGTTGCCAAAATTATCATGCACACCAAATATACATATTATTATCTTGATAAACACTTAAGGTAAAACTGTTATTCTTAATGACAAAATAACAAATATTTTATGTATCTTTTTTTTCTCTCTTTTTCTAACGTCGATCATTACGAGTTCACTATATATTTTATTATCGTAACATGTGTGTTCAACTCGATGCATACCTACTTTTAGATATTATACCCACAATATAATAGATATCAATCAAACAATTATTACTATATTGTTTTTTTCGTGATTTATATATTACTATTATTGTTATCGTTGTGATTGACAATTTAACATAGTCGCTTTGTTCTTCCATCCGAGTTCGTTGTACCGCCTCCGACCGGTGTATGCTGCCGGGCCGACCTTTCGGAAGTCGGGTCTTTGGCTATATGGCCTATGCTATGAATACTCGAGAAAATTACCGTACGGTTAAAAAAAAAAAATTAACACCATATCATCATCATCGGTATTGTCTGTATATTATAATACAATAATATATATATTATTATACAATCGTAGAGAGAACCGTTCCGGGTCGGAATGGTGTGTTCTGGTCAGATTTAGATTTGACGTGACGAAGGACCGCGTTAATAGGTGATAATAATCGATGACGGCCGGCCGGTGTTTCGCCTTGTTTTTTTTTCTTTCTTTCCCGTTTTTTTAACCACTTCTGGCGGAAACAATGACTGGAGTTTTCCTAATTTTCTTAATCGACATCAATTAACGAACCGGTCGACCATTAAGCGACCCGCTCTCGGACAATAGGAACCAATAATATACCCACTAGCTGCACTGCTGTTACTGATTTTGTCGTATCGTTTTGTGTTGTTTCAGGATCACATCCAAGAAGTGTTGGACAAATGGACTCAGATCGACGACGAGATATGGGCCAAAGTCATAGTGTTGGAAAGGAACCGACGCGTGGCCAAAGCCTATGCTCGAGCACCGATTCTCACAGTGAACGGGTCCGACGAGGGATTCGACGGCTACAGGTAAAGATTTATAAATTATTACTATTATGATTTTTACTAAAAAAACAAATTTCTAAATCCGTTTCGCAATAGGTTGTTTCACGGTCGACTGGTCGACACACATATACAAATATTATATAAAATTATTTATTGATCTTTATGCGTGAACGGGCGAATGTGTAAATAACAAAAAAATAGACACTGTTGAGTAAATAATGTTTTTTTTTTTCGGAACGAAAAGACAATTTTTATTTTTCTCGGGTGTCTACATTGTTTTTATGGTTATGATATCGAATTATTATTATTATAATAATTGTTAACGTCATGTCATACGCGTTGTTCTTATGCAAGACGTTAATCGGTAAAAACGACGACACCTACGGGCACTGTTATATTGTTTTAGGTTCATTGTTTTTTTTATTCGAACACCCACAAAGTATTAACATATTTTTGACGCGCTATTTATCCGTGAAAGTATAACATAATCATTGCATTCGGCCGGAAACAATATACCAAACAGAATATAATATCACATAGTAGTTACACTTTCAAACGTTTAAAAAAAAACACACAACATTTTTTCCCTCATTATAATTCTGGGTGGATCTAATACAAGAAAGTAATAACGTTTCAACGACCCACCGCCTCAGTCCATCGAATCTCGAAACTGCATTAAACAAAACGACAACAGACGTTAGATTAATATAATGCCGGATTGCATAAACTTTCATTGAGAATCTTTAAACATTTAGTGTGGTCCATTAAACATCAAACGAGATTCCCATTGTTTGTCCGTTCAATTGTTGTGCAATTCGGTATATAACGCTAAAGTGTATCAAGGTAAATAATAACACCCTTTCTTTTACAATCACTTGCAGTGTCGAAATTGACTGCACAGAAGGACAAATGGCGGCGATAATATTTCCATTCGATATCATGTTCCATACCAACCACCCCTAGTGCACTATTTACCTTTTCATAAGGTTTATAAACCAAATATTCCAAATCACGCGTTAACCTACAAAGGCCATGCCGTTTACCAACGATTTTACTGATTAAACAACTTAAAATACATTTAAAATGTTTTCTTCCCCGGTAGGCAGTCCTTTGCGTTAATAGAAGCCGTTGGCTTTTGACAGACAGTGCGCCTGTTAGACCTCTATATTGTACATTGTTCCGGTTTCGTCCACGCCGTGTATACTTGGATTTATTTGGAAAAAAATATACTTGCGTGCTACGGTAGTTGGGATCAATCGTCCCGAGTCCATTCCAAACCTCATGCTCATATTATGATTTATCGTTTTTTTTTTTTTGGAATTCTCGTTTGCCAGCGTCTCAATTTATTCACGAGACACAAACAACTTTTTTCACAAGAAAAAAAAATAACGAATGTCATTATAATTGGTCGGGGAACGAGCGTCGACGCCCAATTATTCGCATAGATTTGCATAATACATTATACTTATGTATGTCTTTGAGATTATATATATTGTCGTTGCTACTATTGGATATTTACTAAAACGATCTGGTTCTAAATTCCGCGATAGTTTTTCTACGCGTACCCTCCATGTGACAGAGTCAGTGAACTCTTCTACACCGTGTGTGTATAATCATCCATAAAAAGTACCTACAATAATGTTGGCACACGGTGTTTGTGTTTTCCTTCTGGTCCGCTTCACTCGTGTGCTTGCTCTTCATACTTTCCAATTCAACTCGACTATCGTCGACCGACGATAACACGCTTGCTTGTGCCAAACCGTCTGCGCACACCTAAACACAACACTCGGCAAAACAATTATTTATACAGCTGTTGAGGCGCTTTTTCCACGGCCAACCCTGGACCGCGCAAATGGCGTGAAACCGTGCGAAACCGTAAATCTCAATGTAATCTATAAAACGTAAGCTCGTATACAATAGGCCGAGTTGAATATTTATTGCGGACCGGGTTCGCGTAAGTACATAGAAACGGCTTGGAGAGCTTTGATGAAATGAATTGATTTTGAAACCAAGTCGCGCAGCAATCGCAAAACACATCATCGACATTTTACAACGCGCATATACACAGTAATGTGTACTTAGTATCGGCGTGACGCAATCGTTTCCATGTACCGAGCCCAATATCGGCTATCCAAACGGTATATAAAATAAAACGCGTTTATTATGTTATGCATTATGATTGTGTCTCTAGCCGGTATTTTGTTTTTACTGTATCGTAAATAAATTCCCAACTGTCATCGCGTGTACCGTGTGCTATGCTGTATAAATAATATAATATAGTAAGCTATATTTTATAGCGCGTTGTCCTCGAGGCGCGAAAAATTCTAGGAGTCCTTAAAAATAGTATATAAAAATTCTTCTGCCGGTTTTTTATGCAGCCAAAATGCCAAGGACGTCTAGCCCCGTTTAGCCTGTGCATAATGTCAATGGCTCCAAGCCATTTACCGAAATGTCCATTAAAAAATAACGTTAAATTTATAGTACCTTTAATATTATATCGTTTTTAAAAATTATTCGCTTAATGCTTAGTATATGAATTTTCGTTATAAAAAAATAATTATTTATAACTTGCTTTTTCATTTCCTCCTACGAGAAGTATTGGCACGATGCAACTATTAATTGTGATCGCATCTCCAAAAAATAAAATATTTTTTAAATATTAAAAAATAAGTATCGTCGAAAATGTATATTATTTTATGTTAATATACACAATTGGTAATAAAATATTAATACTTTTTTACTTTTAACAGTTTTTCCATAAATTACCAAACATAACGAATTAGTCGAGAAATCATTTCATGGTGGCAGCGTTGGGCGCTCAAGGCATGACGATGATAATCATTTTATAGACTATTTAGTTGAGCTCTCTTCGTGTAGTTGTCAGTTAGCACTATAGGCTAGGAGGCTACATTACTCTGACGTTTCTCACTGATCGTCCGTGGTCTATCTTCGCAGGTGTTCAGTTACTGTCTCGGTGTTGCAACTACAATACTATGTTTATAATAGTTATTGAGCAATAGGCGCTAGACACTAGGGACCTGGGACAGCACTATATAGTTACAGCAGCGAGAAAGACGCTATGGAGGACCCTGTGAAGATGCCTGATGGCCTCGGCAGAAAACAGAAATTTAACCATAAATGCGATACAGGCGAGCGTTACTTCCCGTAGTAAGTCTGCTCGTTCTTCTGAAATAAATTTCCGACCAAATAATAATATCGGGATGCAATTTTTGCGTGTTTGGATTTCCCGTGTCCGAGAATCGCGTGTAAAGGAACTCATTATCCACTAGATATGGTCATGGTGGGCTAAAAACAACGGCACAGGGGCCCCCACGCTCGGACAAGACTTATCTACCCGCAAATTATATTATTACCTTTGGGCAATAAAATATCTTTGTTTTGGTCATAATATGGTGATGAACGTCTACCGCCCATACGATGACCGTACATCGCTGCGACTTATAACGGTTATACGACACAATATTATAATTAACACGAATAAAAAAATAAATAAAAAATGTATCGACTTGATTCCGTCGAAGGGTTACCAATGTAATAATAGTCAACGTTGTCCATTAGGTTAGCGTTATGTTCGGAATTCAACGTGTCATCCGAATTAAAACGGCCGTATTGTTTCGATATAACATTGATATCACCAGTAAGAAGTTATTGATTTTTTTTCTCACTCGGTCCACCAATGACTTGACGATATTGTTATTAACATACCTACGTAACCGTTACGGTAATAATATTATTAAAAAGAAAATTATATAGGTCTGCTGTATCCGTCAGAGTATTTTTTTTTTAGTCGTTATTATTTTTTTTTTTATTAATTAGGCCGACAATAAGTTTTTTTATTCTCTTAAAAACTAAACGGGCGGAACACGAACACTGCACGACGTTGTTGTGTCAATCATAGTCAAGAGCCGAGTTACACAACGTGTTGCACTTAGGGAACATTTTTTATTTTAGTTGCATTGAACGCTATTCCAATAAGGTTTTGCAACGGCTAAAACGATTTTGTCAGTTAAACGATCAACTTGACGACTTTTTTTTAACGCAGTTCAAATGCTCAAACGACCTCGGTACTTTTCACTTGTAGCAACTTAAACTGTGATAATGTATGAATTGGAATTTCGCCGTTGCATCCAACCGGAGCATGCTGATGTGTAAACGTCTCGAAATTAACGTTGTCTGCGAAAACGAAAACTGACTGCCGACTCACTGATCAGTGAAAATAAATAATTTGCACTCGTTAGTATAGTGCTATGAGGTTTTCACGAGCTCATAAGAAAATAATATGACGAATTACAGTTCTCAAACTTTCTAATGATCGCGTTGTTTCAGTTCAACGTACAATATTGACATTAAATAAGTAACACGACGTTATGTCCTAATAATATTATATAAAGGAATTCTGCTGTGCTGTTCAACTAAATGCAAAAACATCTTGGTAAGCAATACAGTCATCATTGTAAATTTATTTCACCGCCTGATTTTCTTTCTATTTTGCGTTTCTCTACCTACTACCCACCCCGCACGATTCTGTTTAATATGTTTGCGCGTATCAGAGGTGAAAAAATCACGTTATTTGCCATAGATAAAATACTCCAATATTCGGATACAAATATAAATAATTTGCCGGTGTCTTCTTATTACACAGGACTGTTTACCATGGGTACGCGAGAGGCTTGTAATGATATTGAAGAAAAAAAAATGGTAATAATTCGCAGTCAGTGACTCGGTCGGTTGTCGTCCGGTTTTTTACGCATAATATACAAAAAACGGATTAATGTCGCCTCCAAAGTATTTGTCGATTTTGCCCTACCGATAAAAAACGACCCGTGACGCGTTGGGCTCTCTTCCCGTACACTGGCGAGTATAATATGTAATAGTGTGTACATATTATTATTATGTACATACACTATATGGGCATACTGACGCAAGATCTATGGACGTATACGCGATAGAGATAGCCGGATCGCTCGTGCTGATGATCTCCTATACCCGCAGCGCAAATGCCA